ACGTTGCTTAATAAAAATTGAGTTATATTTTCCTTGTATTATACATTCAATGATGTCAACAATATATATATATAAGAGGCTAATGTCTGTCTGTCCACAAAGCTCCTCCCATGGTTTAAGACTGACTTGGATGAAACTTTGCACAATTTTTCAGCATCATAAGGGGAAGTTCCTAACAAAGTTTCATTACAATTTAGTCTCTTATAAAAAGAAAGTTTATTTTGTGCACGTGTCTACTTTATTTAAGAAATAACCAATAACAGCTTTATATCGCACCAAAATGAAAAATGTTGTAAAATATATCCTCACTAAAATTTAAAAAAATAATGAGGACCTTATTTTATAACACTTTTATTCCTAAATTGCTTCCGTAATGGAGAAATGGTACTTCTTTCCCTTTTAAAAATTTACATTAGCTTTGTACATTTATTATTATCAACAAAATTAATTTTCTATTAAAAATTATAAAATTGTGGTAAAGTGAGTTTAATGTAGAATTTCAAAATGAATCTTCTTAGTGGAGAATCATTGTAATATTTTAGAAGAAAAGTGACTTTTACTGCTTCTTTATAACCTGATTATCAGATGAGATTTGTTGATGACATGTTCTTGGTTTGCATAAAAACATTTGCTGATTAAGCAATGTTGATCCTTCTAAGTCTATTCAGTTTACATATGAGATTGAGCAAAATCATTTTTTAACTTCTTCTTTAAGACATACTTACAAGAAATAATAATAATGGAACTATTTCCACATCTCTATTTTGGAAACCACATTAAAATCATGTCACCCATCTTCTCAAAATATAGCAGTTTCTCATACTTATAGAAACAGAGCATTTAAAATTTGTTGTGATTCTACTAATTTGAAAAAGAAATTGAATTATATAAAAAGCATTGCTAATGATAGAGGTTATAATGTTGATATAATTGAACATATAATACAAAGAAAATATAACTCAGTTTTTATTAAACATTGTACTAGATTTAGCAGTGTCTACACAGCGTAGTCACAAGTAAATAGACACCATCTTTCCCGAAAAAATTAAATTTTTCAGTCATATTCACATGAATTGACATATTTATAATTTAATTAATATCTAGTAGATCTTCCTTTCGCTTCACAGAGTTCGTTGATCCTTTGGGGCATTGTGAAAATCATCTCGTCAATTTTTAGATTGTGGGAATTTCGCCCACTCCTGCTTCAAAACTTGGAGTAGATCGCTCTTCGAAGCTGGTTGTTTTGATTATTTCTTGACTTGCTGGTCGAGTATGGCCCAAAGGTTTTCGACGGGGTTCATGTCAGGAGATTGGCTGGGCCAGGGCAACTTCCAGATGCCATTTTCTTCCTGCCACTTTTGGGTGTTTCTATCAGTGTGACACGGTGCTCCATCTTACTGGAACAAC